TTAGTTATTTATGTGTCTCTTGTGCTTTTTCTTATATTATTTATCTGCGATTTGTGAAATGTGAACATGTGTGTGAAAGGTGCACTACTACTGCACAAAAATAGCCATACTGGGACAAATAAAAGCTACTGAACTGAACTGCTTCTGTTTTAAACCCTTTAATTATGCAGTTTCATTTCAAAACATGAGAATTTCTGTTTTCTTAACATGTCAAATATCTTCTTCTAAAGGAATATTTATTTTTCTTTGCCTTCTTCTATGCAGAGGGTGAGGAGCTGTGAAGAGAAAACACCCAGGAAAGTTTCACGATCAAAAAGGAAGTGAAAAGTGCAAGTTGAGTAAGAAGGGGAGGGAACAGGGAGTGGAGCTCAGCTGGCGGGGAACAGGCGACACTGATGCAGGAGGGTGTGTGTCCCTCTGTGAAAGCGATGTAGGTCATCCTCACAGAAAGGAAAGAAGGCCAGAGGCAATTAATGTTCAGAGTTTACCAATAATGAATGCATTCACTATAAATTGTATTTTTTTATCTAAATAAGTAGGTTTTTCTTAAGATAAGTGAATTTTTTTCTTGAATTGAGGTAAAAGAGACGCTTTGCCAAATGAAAAAGGACAAATTACATTTAAAATAAGAAAGAAAAAGACTCCATTCTCTTATTTAAAGTGCATATTATCTAATTGCCTTCTTTTAAGAGTAAAAATATTCATTCCTTTGGCAAATCATCTTATTTACCTGCTTAAATTAAGGGGAAATACACCTAATTTAAGACATTTTCACTTATATCTAGATTGATTTGCAGTGTTGGTTTTATTCATACACTGGAAAAATGATCTAGAAATAAGTAAAAATGTCTTAAATTAAATGTATTTACCCTTGATTTGAGTAGGTAAATCAGATAGTTTGCGAATGGAATGAGAATGTTTACTCTTAAAATGAGATAATTTGATAATATGCACTGGAAATAAGACGATGCAATCGTGTTTTCTTATTTTAAATCTAAATTGTCTCGTTCCATTGGCAAAGTGTCTCTTTTACCTCCTCAATTTAAGAACAAATGCACTTATTTTAAGAAAAAAATGACTTATCTAGATTTCAATTCAGTGTCTGGATCCACATGCAAACACTATTTAAAAATAAGTCAACATTTCAGTGTTTTTA